TCTAAGTACACAATACTGCCTCACCATGTTCACTTTGTGTTTGTTCTATCGCCTTCAGTACCATCTCGGTCTCGTTTGTCGATCAAAACATCGCATCATAGTGATCTTCGCAGTTATGAACATTACTTATGCCGTAGTGGAAATAAGACTTGGAAAATATCCGCAGCTCACATATATGATTTTCATATATTCGCAGTCATCACTTCAAGGGTTTATTAAGAACTACCATTTCAAATAGCTCCCAGTTGGTTGGTTAACTCAGTTGGTAGTAATGTTACGTAATTATGTCGAGTAATTTGTTAGGTTTTGTCGACTTTTAAGAAGCAGCGTCGTCGTCTTTGTTTTTGTTTTTTTTTTTTTGCCTGTAAAGCTATGCACCGTTAAGGTAAATTTTCTTCTTTACGGTGAGTTTATTTGCGAGTTTTCGTATGTATTTTTCTAATCTTATTTAGTAACGTAGACAAGTGGATGTTTTAAGATAAATGATGAACACAATTGCGCGTGACTTCAGTAACAGGTTCAAATCCCGTCTTTTTTGCTGTTGTTGTTGTTGTTGCCTTTGTTTTGTTTTGTTTTTTTTTTCTTGCCTTACTTTCACAACTGCCTAAGTAGTGTTCATTACTGCGAAGATCGCTTTCATATTCATTTCTAAACCCACAGTTCACATACATGATTTTCATGTATTCACAATCATTTATTCATCACTTCACGGGTTTATTACACACCAACATAATGACCAACTCCCAGTTAGCTTGTTAGCTCAGTTGGTAGAGCACTGTACCGATGTCGCGGAGTTTATATGTTCAAATCCCATACAGAAAATGGCTTGAACTCGGGGCAGCATTTGATCCTGTAGTCTGATCGGTTGGCTGGTTTTTTTTTTTTTATTTGTTTCAAATCACCATTACTATGGTTATGTCATGCGCCAATTTCCTAGAGATGAGTCGCGTTGCTTTTTGATCTTCGGCCTGTAAGTCGAGCTTTCTTTCCTAAAGTAACCACAACTGAAATTTTCAATACAACGAAGGAATCGAGGCAGGTGTGTTGCCACAACCTCCACTCTATCGCAGGTTGAACAGTCCACCAGGTTGAGTGGGGAAGAGGTTTTACTTTCGGTAGTAGTGGTCAACTCATAGCAGCTTGGTTAGGTCGGAAACAGAAGGTGATTGTGAATCGCTCCAGGTGAGCTTTCTTCGTCACTCACAAAATAAGTGGTAAAAACCATGTGTCCAAAACTCATGCCGCCATGTACCAATATGCTATTCTATTGAGTTAGTTAGAACGGAACAAGAAAAAGAGAACAGAAACAAGTCACACACTCACACTGAGATCCGTTTTGAAAGGTTGCGAAGCCTTTGAACAGGAGTGAGGCTAAGGGTGACCTTGTTGTGATACAAACTTTGCTGCTCTTCAAATGGAAATAGCTTTGTTATCATGCTAACGAGATACTGGTCTCTACCACAACATGGACAACTTCAGTCTCACTCTAAGTCAAAGGCTTGGCAACCAAGTACACAATTGTAAAATGTCCTATTAAAAATACGTGATATAAAATTTGCGTATTGTTTGAGCCTCATCTTAAATCGCTGTAAAGTTCTTGTAGATTCAGTTATTTATCACCTCACGCTGATTAAAAAACAGAGAGGCATGACTGTATTTAAACCGCGTTGAGTTTAGCGATATAGTCCTTAGCCATGACTTAATATTTTCTTTAAGTACTCCCTCAGGTGCCAGTTAGCCGGTTTTCTGATGTAAAGTACTTGTGTGGTTACTCAGAGAAACTACCTAAATTGCGTGGAAACGGTGAAACAGTCATGTAAAATAAAAGCGAGCATCTTAAATCGCTCTGACGAAGGGCTAACGCTCGAAGCTTTTAAACCCTTTACGGGGGCGATTTTATGTTATCGACTCAGTTTATAAAACTAAATTACCATGTTATACTCCTCCACCGACGCAGCACCAAAGCTTCTTTAGAAACTTACCCCCTTTATTCATTTACCTTACTGAAGTCATTTAAATGACGTATACCGGGCTAGATATTACCATATTCCAAATAAATTGTCGTTGCATGATTTCTTGCTAAGATCTATGACAAAAATATCTTGCAACAGCATGGCTGATTGGAAAAAGCATGAGCGGGACGCTTTAAAGGACTCGAGTAGCTTTTTGTTATTCTTAAAAAAAAGAGAAAAAAAATTGTGAACTTGTTTCCTTCTTCAATAACTTCCCGTGAATTTTTAATATCTGTGTGATAACCTGCTTTCTGGAGTCTGCGTCTTGATCTGAAGAAAGTTTTAAAGCGTGCAGAACCTCACAAGACAAGCTGCACGTTTTTAGTTATAGAGCAAGTTTGGAAAATATCCCAACATTTCTGTAAAAAGTAGAGAATACATTCCTCAGGAATGACACAGTTATTTTCTCTTTCATAGCCATTGAAGGATGATCGTGCCATGGCAATGAGTCGATTCATCTGGAAAATATCTTAAACTCCGATTTTCAACAGAGAGAGAGTCAGTTTAGCAAAGCGCAAATGAAAAATAACCGTTTTCAATATGGACCACTCTTACACGTCGTTAAATAAAAACCATATGGCAAATGGAAAAATGCTTTGTTTAATGGGAGTGCCAGCATATTTTAGATTTGAGATCGAAAGATAGCATTATAGTTTCATTCATTCATGCGAACTTGGATCGCTATTTACATGTTGGCGCCACTATTTCACGTTTTCAAAAGCCATCATAACATCCCGATGAGCGAGGCCTTTTTAAGGGTCTTTCAGTTATCATCAGAAAAAGACACACTCTAGGTCCAGGTGTACATTCAGTTGTGTTCGATTCTAAATGCACTTGGATTCCTGAAAGCCCCCGCAGTTAATGCTTGCAAAAATAATCCACAGGATTAACAATAACTACTAAGATAATCAGAAAAATGCGACGATAGTTGAACGATCTTCTCGGCAAATTGAGTAATGAGTCATTTCTATTTACACCCTTGGTTTATCCATTAGTTCTTTAACCTAAAAGCGATTGGAAGATCTCTGTGGCAGCTCCGATGACATAAGCAACAATATTGAGACATCTCTGATCAAGTCTAAACACTCACTTAAGTTAATTGTTTTGAGCTCTAAAGACCCATCAACACGGCTTCCATTAAAAAAAAAATTGAGAAATTTCAACAGGAAGTTTTTATTTAGGCTGCAAATAGTAATCACGAATGCATACACACCTAATTGCAATGAGTGTCATATGAAAATGAAACGTGACCTAAAATGGCCAAACAACAATGCGTTTCAAAGGTGTCTGCCAAGAAACCCGTTCAGGATAAAATTGATCAAAAAAAGAAAACAAAATAGCTTTGAAAATTATCGCAGTTCTACGATTTGATACAAAGGCAAAGGCATATTTTCTCTTTTTCTCTATTAAAACCTTTCGCGAACCTCTAAACGACAGGTGTGTAACAATTTATTGCTTTGAAAGTCTTTCTTCCTCCCCATAATCTTATTTTTTTTAGCATAAAAGGAATGAATTTAACTAAAGTCCCTTAAAGATAAAAGATCGCATGATTTCTTTGTTATAAAGACATAGTAAATTAAAGGTAATGGTTCTTTAGCTTGCGTTGTACCAATTTAATTTTTTATTGCTGCATTTACAGTTTCACCAGGAATATTCTAACCGCTTTCTAATTTGTTCAGTACACTTGTTCGCACGCGTTGTTGACTTATCGTCATCCTTTCAGGAAGTTGCCTGTTTATATCGGCTGAGTACAATCCACAGGGAAAAGCAAAGAAGGAAACTGAACCTACAATTATGGCACCCAATTTCATTTGCTTGATCTGCGTATTTCTTGTCGTGATGTCATTTTCAACCGATTCTGACGCCACCATCATTGGTGGTCCATCGGTTTGCCCCAAAAACGGTTGTGGACGAAGGAGGAGATCAAATGCAGGAGTAAGTATCATGACCAAGTTTTAAAAAGGTGAAAATTCCTAAATTAACTATGAGTTACCAGAATTTATTTTGCCTTTAAATAAATTTTGCCCTTTAAATCCGAATTTTCAGAAGAAAAAAAAAAAGAAAGCTCGATTCTTAATAGACATTTTCAGTGAACAATGCAAATATGGTTGGTCTAATTATTTTCATGACTTTTCTAGAAGTTGAAGGTTTTTCATCTCATCGGGAACAATAGCCCGTGATATAGCTAAAGTCGTTGGAAAAGTCAGTTATTAAGGAGGTCGAGGGCTCTTAAAGCTGTGGCATAAGGAATGTTTCTTCATCAAAGAAAGAAAAGTCTCCTTTTTCTTACAACTTGATTATCGTCACTGATCTCTTTATTGTCGTTCCTATTAGGCTTTTCGCCACTTGCACTCAGTACCTTCTTTCACGAAAGTTTTTGTTTTTGTTTTTGTTTTTTTTTTTCCATAGAGAAATGAGCGAATTCTTCTCTCTAAGCGCCGGTTGTGTGACGTCGCCGAACGTATGGGTTGCCGAACTGTGATGCGAGACCAATAGAATTTAAAGTTGTCGACCAAAGTGTGAACCATAAATGTTCAAAGTTTAAAGAATGCGTTGTAAACTAAACAAAACTCATTAAAATCTTGAATCTGTACTCACTGTTAATTTAGCAATGCCAATGTTTCATATGAATTAACTTTTATATGGCTAGTATAGGTTTAAGGAATAAGTTTTTAAGGAATAAGAATCGAACTAAATTGAATGTACACCTGGACGTGAGCACCGTAATAATGACCCCATTTCAACTTCAAGTTCATGAGAAGCATTCCTCTTTCCTTATCCCAACCCCTCCCCATTGCTTCCTCCTCGATAAAAAAAAAACCTTAGATAGTTGCTTTGTATGTATTGTATTTGACTGGGTAACGCTTCAGTAAAAAATACACTTTCATCGTAAGCTTTCATCCAATAGAAAGACACGAAAAAAAAAGATGCTCGGATATTACAAGAAACAAGCGACAAGGGCAAGCGATTGGCTAACTTCGCTCAAAATAAAGTGTAAGTGCACATGTATTTTATTTGCTTACACAGTGTCAGTTTTCAGCAGATCTAACTGTGAACATAATTTACATTAACTCAAAGGTGCGTTACCGAAAAGCAACTGGACCACATTTGAAGTTCGCGATAATACTATGGGTTCGGGCATATAGGAACTAGTCCTCGGTCTCACATTCGAAAGCTTCAGGATCATAACAAAGTCTTCGACCTATATATAACTCGGCTCGGCCCGCTTCTTCATCTTTGGCCTCCTTTGAATAAAGAAAAGCAAACAGGATAATCGTCAGTCTTCAACAAAAGTATTAAATTCTATCAATTGGTAAAAAATTAAAATGATCCTGCCGCTTACCACCACCCCATTAAAATTCCTAATTACCTGAAAGAATACAGCTAATTATCCCTACAGAACTTTAATAGAAATCTACCATATTTCGTCAGTTCAATTTCCTTGTACAGAAACCTGCATTAAGCAGCACGGTATTTAACGGTCACCCTGTATTAAGTGGCCGGTCGTCAAAGTCCAGATATTTTGTTTCCCCTTAATCATTGTCATTTTCACCTCTATTAAGCGGTCATATTCACCCTTTTTTGAGTCCCAACAGCCAGGTTTTTTTTGTCCTCCACCTGTATTGAACGGTAGATGAAAGCGGGACCACTCCAAAAAACCGTTTAAGTAATTTTAAATCCACTTTTCTACCCCAAAATAAAAGAAGGTGGTGTTGTCGAGCAAGATTCTATACATTAAATGGTCAATTATGACATAAACTTTTGTAAATCGGTTTTTATAATACCCCGCCTCTTTGGAACCTGCATTTAGCGGTCGCTGTCGACCTGTATTCCCCGCTTAATACAATTTCGACTGTAAAAAACACAGGAGATGAAATATACGATATTTGCCGGCTAAGGGTCGGTCCGTATGGTGAAAAACTGTGATCGAGGTCTTGAAAATACTGCCCGAGGTCGTAGGCCGAGGGCAGCATTTTCAAGACCGAGGTCTCAGTTTTTCACCATGTGGACCGACCCTTAGCCGGTAAATAACATTTTTATTGTTTTTAAACTTGATTAAATTCTTTCCGAAAGAACCTGAATGATTTAGGGCCGTAAATACGGCAAGATCTTCCATAAACTGAAAAATTTTTGAGCAAGTAAATGGTAGTTAAAATAGAGGTGATGCAAATTAAAGAGAGATGCCTCACCGAAACATTTTCATTTGCGTAAGGATAAAGGTGATTTAAAAGGTTTTCAAACAAACTTTGAAACATTATTTTTACAAGTATCTGTCACAATCTGACACCTGTCAATAAGAGAGCGCGTAAAAAAAAAAAACGCAAGAACATTTAAAAAACAACGGAACTAGTTTGGCGAGGTCTGTCGCAACAATGTTTTCGTCAAAAACATTAAATGATCTAACGGAAAGTATTATTCACTCTCATCGACGATTCATTCATTTACGAAGATTTACCTCAGTTCATTAAGTAAACGGCGAGGAAAGTCATCGTGAGTAAATTCAATTTTTTTATTTTGAAGTTGAGAGTTTGCACGTTTGTTTGCTGCAATGGCGTGTGTAGATCTGGTCTTCCTCCACAAACTAAATTCGAATGGCACACTCCAACGAGACGCAAGGGGATTTAATGTGGCCTTTTCTCAATAAATTCCTTCAGTTTCTGTTGTGCAATTTATGGTATAAGTGCCCAAATTGAACGGACTCAGAAAGACTCACCGAAAGCTTATATTTGTTGTAGAAATGAATTTAAAACTTCGCTTGCTCTTTCAATACGAACAAATTGTTTGAGAAAATTCAGATATCAAATGAATGAAAGTTCCATCGTTCAGTTTAACTGTAACCAAATACCTCACGTTTTAACTTTCTAGGTACTTTTTGTGAACGATTAAAATTAATTGCAGACGGTTTTTAGGCCGCTTGTCAACCAACGTAATGACACTATTGCTTATACAAATTCATTCTGAAACCAATATTTTTCTGTCCACCAAAGTGATTTGAGAGAGAGAAAAGAGAGAATTTATAAGTTATTTATCGGCCTGAAGTAGTGACCGACTGTTTGCTTGAAAATACTGCCCAGCCGGAAAAACGAGATATATTTATGAAAAATGGCAACGAAATTTGGGATGTACTCGGCGATTCACGAAAGCGTTACCGTGGCCCGTGGGCATAGATAGGAAAATACTGACCGGATAAAGAACCAATCAGATTGCAGGATTCGTTACCGTGCCCTCTAAAAAGAAATAATCTCCACCATTTGACGTTGATTCCATCTAGCTGTTAAAGGAATATTTTCTTCATTTCTTTCTCTGACAGAAGTGCTGTTACTTTTTCCAATATCAATCAATACATGGCTTTGGTTTGAATGACTTTCATTCCTAACTGGAGTATTAAAAAGTGTCTCTCGTACGTTCCGCGGCTATGTCAAAGTAATTATTATTAATCTTGCAACACTTGATACATCGTTTTAATTTCAGCTTCGTTTTTCTGTTTTAAATTTCATCTTAAACGTTAAATTACCTTGCTATCATTTTTGTTACAGAAATTTTGTAAGTCTTGATTGCTGTTTTTTGTTTTGAACATTTTGGGTTTTTCAAGTTCAACTTGATGAATAAATCTTTTTTTGACAAAGGCTGAATAAATGGACATTCTAAATTAAAGGTTTTTAAAATTTTTTGATTAGTTGTTAATTTAAGAAATCATACCAGCTTGTTTCTTAAATTCTTTCTTCCACTTCTACGTCTATGATACGGCCATTTAGCAGTTTCTGCCTCGGTGTGTGTGAGGCACTGAAAGGTAATCACAAGACCTAAGATTAACAGAAAAGTGCTCAATCTACTGTACATGATTGCTGATCGATCCTACTCGATGATCGAGTCCGTTTTATTGGCTTGGTGCAGGGCACAGACAATGCATCTGTTCAAGAGTCCCATCGGATCTTAAACTAATGGAAGGAAGGTTAAATATTTGAATTTCAAGTTGTAAAGACATCATCCACAATTTTTGCCATTTCTTGCTGTCGTTCACTGTCAAGAACGCGAGAAAAACAAACTGCAGAGAATATCGTAACATCTGTTCTATAACGTACTCCAGATGCATGTACGTAAATTGCTTCATTTTCCTGAGGCTTCAAAATGGAAAGTAAGAAACAATGCTGGGAGAGATTTAGAACCAAATTTAAAAAAACAAAACAAAACAAAAACCGAAAAAAATATCCTATGGTAAAAGGTGATTTCGCCTTAAAAGTTGTCAAAGTGATATTTCACTCTATGTCAATCTGTTAAACTTATCACACATTATAATAGTCCTCAAAGAGCGAATGCATAGAAAGGCGATAAGCAATATGAATAACTGTCAGTGTAAGTTTTATCTTCCATGAAGTATGTTGCATTTTCATAATGGGGACAATTTTCTAACCAAGTTTTTCTTACTTAAGCAAAATGTTAATAACATAATCCTGGTTAACGATTCTTCTACGAAACAACCAAGAATGTGAAAGCTAACGAGCTGGCGGTAGTAACTTCCGAACACAAGAAAGGCAACTGCAAATAATGTGGCAAACTGACGTCTTTTAAAACAGCTTTTATCTGCCTTGGATCCAAATTTGATCCAAATTTTACCTAAATTGCAATTGTACTTAAAAGGTGCTACATGCAGATGAAACATAAGTAGATTTAAAGGGTCAATAATTGTGTCATTCTCTACGTCCCCCAAATGGACTTTTGGCACATTTCCGAAATTGTCAAGGAAAACATCCTCGCTAAAGCTCATAGAGCGGAAAAGAAAAAACTAAATTCGAGTTCAAATGAATAAATGTAGGGTAGCATCTTTTCTTAATAACGGGAAGAGCTGCACTCTACTTGCCGGATGCAGGTTCCCCAAAAAACTACGACGTTTCGACTTTTATCGCGTTAGCTCAGGTGCTCGGTCAGAAGGAGAATTTGGTTGAAGTTTAATGTTTGAACCAAAAAGGAAGGAATACGTCTTAGCGTTAGCACTGTAATAATGAACACGCTTTCAACTTCAAGTTCATGAGAAGCATTCCTCTTTTTTATCCCAAACCCTTCTCCTTGCTTTCTCCCTGATAAAAAACTGTTAGATGGTTGCTTTAAAGTTATTTCTTTTAACTGGGTAACGCTCCAGTAAAGAACATGCTTTTTAGTCATCGTAAGCTTTCATCCAGTGGAAACAAAAAAAAAAAAAAGATTTTCAGATATAACAAGGAAAAAGCGACAAAGGGCAAGTGATTGGTTAACTACATTGAAAATAAAGTGCGAGCCAAATTACATGCACATATATTTTATTTGCTTACACAATGTCAATTTTTGACAGATCTAACTGTGAATGCAGTTTACTTTAAGTCAAAGGCGCGTTACCAAAAAACAATTGAACTTCATTTGAAGTTCACGATAATTCTGTGTTCTTGTATAGAGGAACTAGCCCTCACTCTCACATTCGAAAGCTTCAGGATCACGACAAAGTCTTCGACCTATGTATAACCCTATATAACCCGGCTCGGCCCGCTTCTTCATCTTTGGCCTCCTTTGAATAAAAAAAAGCAAATAGAATAATAATCAGTTTACAGCAAAAATATTATATTCTATCCATTGGAAAAAATTTAAAATGGTCCTACTGCTTACCACCACCCAATTAAAATTCCTAATTACCTGAAAGAATACAGCTAATTATCCCTACAGAACTTTAATAGAAATCTACCATATTTCGTCAGTTCAATTTCCTTGTACAGAAACCTTAATTACAGAAAAAAACTTTGAAGTAATTTTAATTCCATTTTTCTCTGTTGTCGAGTAAGATTCTTTACATTAAGTGGTCGATTATGGCATAGAGTTTTTTAATTCAGCTTTTATAAAACCTCTTATCTTTGGAACCTGCATTTCGAGGTCTACCTGTATTCCCCGCTTCATACAGTTTCGACTGTAAAAAGCCATTCCATCTATCTGTCAAAAGAATGTTTTCTTTTTTTTCTTTTTTTTTTTAGTCCGAGTACTTTTCCTTTTTTAATACCAATCAATACATTGCTTTGGTTTGAATAACTTTTATTCCTAACTGGAACATTAAAAAGTGTTTCTCATACGTTCTGCGGCTCTGAAAAAGTAATTATTAATTATTAATCTTGCAATACTTGATACGTATCTTGCAACACTCGATACATCGTTTGAATTTCAGCTTCGATTTTCGGTTTTAAATTTTCCATTATAAACGTTAAATTACCTTGCTATCATTTTTGTTATAGAAGTTTTGTCAGTCTTGACTGCCTTTTTTCGTCTTGAACATTTTGGGTTTTTCAAGTTCAACTTGATGAATAAACTTCTTTGTGACAAAAGGCTGAATATATAGACATTCTAAATGAAAGTTTTTTAAATTTTTTTGCTTAGTCATTAATTTAAGAAATCATACCAGCTTGTTTCCCAAACTCTTTTTTCCAGTTTTAAGTCTAAGATGCGTCCATTTAGCATTTATTGCCTCGGTGTATGCGAGGCACTGGAGGGTGATTACAAGACCCAACACCAACAGTATCGTGCTCAATCTACTGTACATGGTTGCTCATCGATCCCACTTATTGAACCAGAAGATCGAGTCCGTTTTATTGGCTTGATGCAGCGCACAGACAAAACATCTATTCAAGAGTCCCATTGGATCTTAAACTAATGGAGGGGAGGTTAAATATTTGCATTTCAAGCTGTAAACACATCATCCACAGTTTTTGCCATTCCTTACTGTCGTTTGCTGTCAAGAATGTGAGAAAAACAAACTGCAGAGAATAGCTTAACATCTGTTCTATAACGTACTCAAGATACATGCACGAAGTAATGAAAAGCAAGCTACAATGCTGGCAGAGATTTAGGGCCAAATATAAAAAAAAAACAAAACAAAACGAAAACCAATTTCCGAAACTGTCAAGGAAAACATCCTCGCTAAAGCTCATAGAACGGAAAAGAAAAAACTAAATTCGAGTTCAAATGAATAAATGTAGAGTAGCAGCTTTTTCTTAATAACGGGAAGAGCTGCTCTCTACTTGCCTTATGCAGGTGCCCCAAAAAACTACGACGTTTCGACTTTTATCGCGTTAGCTCAGGTGCTCGGTCAGAAGGGGAATTTGGTTGAAGTTTAATGGGTTGAACCAAAAAGGAAGGAATACGTCTTAGCGTTAGCACTGTAATAATGAACACGCTTTCAACTTCAAGTTCATGTGAAGCATTCCTCTTTTTTATCCCAAACCCTCTCCCTGATAAAAAAACTGTTAGATGGTTGCTTTAAAGTTATTTCTTTTGACTGGGTAACGCTCCAGTAAAAAGTATGCTTTTTAGTCATCGTAAGCTTTCATCCAGTGTAAACAAAAGAAAAAAAAAGAAGTTCAGATATAACAAGGAAAAAGGGACAAAGGGCAAGTGATTGGTTAACTACATTGAAAATTAAGTGCGAGCCAAATTACATGCACATATATTTTATTTGCTTACACGATGTCAATTTTCGACAGATCACACTGTGTGTGCAGTTTACTCTAAGTCAAAGGCGCGTTACCAAAAAACAATTGAACTTCATTTGAAGTTCACGATAGTTCTATGTGTTCTTGTATAGAGGAACTAGCCCTCACTCTCACATTCGAAGGCTTCAGGATCACGACAAAGTCTTCGACCTATGTATAACTCGGCTCGGCCCGCTTCTTCATCTTTGGCCTCCTTTGAATAAAGAAAAGCAAATAGAATAATTATCAGTTTACAGCAAAAATATTATATTCCATCCATTGGAAAAAAATCAAAATGGTCCTACCGCTTACCACCACCCAATCAAAATTCCTAATTACCTGAAAGAATACAGCTAATTATCCCTACAGAACTTTCATAGAAATCTACCATATTTTGTCAGTTCAGTTCTGTTCCTTGTACAGAAACCTGCATTAAGCAGTACGGTATTTAGCGGTCACCCTGTTTTTTGTGATCGGTCGTCAAAGTCCAGATATTTTGTTTCCCCTTAGTCATTGTCATTTTCACCTCCATTAACCGGTCATATTGTCATATTCACCCTTTACTGAGTCCCAACAGCCGGTTTTTTTTTGCTCTCAACCTGTATTGATGGTAGATGAAAGCGGGACCACTCCAAAAAACTTTGAAGTAATTTTAAATCCATTTTTCTCTGTTGTCGAGCAAGATTCTGTACATTAAGTGGTCAATTATGGCATAAAGATTTGTAAATCAGCTTTTATAAAACCCCTTATCTTTGGAACCTGCATTTCGCGGTCTACCTGTATTTTCCGCTTCATACAGTTTTTACTGTAAAAAGCCATTCCATCTAGCTGTTAAAAAATGTTTTCTTTTTTTTTTTTGTCCGAATGCTGTTACTTTTTCCAATATCAATATAAACATTGCTTTGGTTTGAATGACTTATATTCCTAACTGGAGCATTACTACAGGGGTTCGCTGTCAGAGAACGTGAGAAAACCAAATTGCAGAGAATAGTGTAACATCTGTTCTATAACGTACTCAAGATACATGCACGAAGTAATGAAAAGCAAGCTACAATGCTGGCAGAGATTTAGGGCCAAATATAAAAACAAAAACGAAAAAAAAACGAAAACCAATTTCCGATACTGTCAAGGAAAACATCCTCGCTAAAGCTTATAGAGCGGAAAAGAAAAAACTAGATTTGAGTTAAATTAATAAATGTAGGGTAGCGTCTTTTCTTAATAACGAGAAGAGCTGCACTCTACTTGCCAGATGCAGGAGCTCCAAAAAACTACGACGTTTCGACTTTTATCGTGTTAGCTCAGGTGCTCGGTCAGAAGGAGAATTTGGTTGAAGTTTAATGGGTTGAACCAAAAAGGAAGGAATACGTCTTAGCGTTAGCACTGTAATAATGAACACGCTTTCAACTTCAAGTTCATGTGAAGCATTCCTCTTTTTTATCTCAAACCCCTCTCCTTGCTTTCTCCCTGATAAAAAACTGTTAGATAGTTGCTTTATAGTTATTTCTTTTGACTGGGTAACGCTCCAGTAAAAAATATACTTTTTAGTCATCGTAAGCTTTCATCCATTGAAAACAAAAGAAAAAAAAAGATGTTCAGATATAACAAGGAAAAAGCGACAAAGGGCAAGTGATTGGTTAACTACATTGAAAATAAAGTGCGAGCCAAATTACATGCACATATATTTTATTTGCTTACACAATGTCAATTTTTGACAGATCTAACTGTGAATGCAGTTTACTTTAAGTCAAAGGCGCGTCACCAAAAAACAATTGAACTTCATTTGAAGTTCACGATAGTTCTATGTGTTCTCGTATAGAGGAACTAGCCCTCACTCTCACATTCGAAAGCTTCAAGATCACGACAAAGTCTTTTACCTATGTATAACCCGGCTCGGCCCGCTTCTTCATCTTTGGCCTCCTTTGAATAAAGAAAAGCAAATAGAATAATTATCAGTTTACAGCAAAAATATTATATTCCATCCATTGGAAAAAATTAGAATGGTCCTACTGCTTACCACCACCCAATTAAAATTCCTAAATACCTGAAAGAATACAGCTAATTATCCCTACAGAACTTTAATAGAAATCTACCATATTTCGTCAGTTCAATTTCCTTGTACAGAAACCTGCATTAAGCAGCACGGTATTTAACGGTCACCCTATATTACGTGGTCGGTCGTCAAAGTCCAGATATTTGGTTTTCCCTTAATCATTGTCATTTTCACTTCCATTAACTGGTCATATTGTCATATTCACCCTCTTCTGAGTCCCAACAGCTGGGTTTTTTTTTTGTTCTCAACCTGTTTTTACGGTAGATGAAGCGGGACCACTCCAAAAAAACTTTGAAGTAATTTTAAATCCAATTTTTCTCTGTTGTCGAGCAAGATTCTATACATTAAGTGGTCGATTATGGCATAGAGTTTTTTAATTCAGCTTTTATAAAACCCCTTATCTTTGGAAGCTGCATTTCGCGGTCTACCTGTATTCCCCGCTTCACACAGTTTCGACTGTAAAAAGCCATTCCTTCTAGCCGTTAAAAGAATGTTTTCTTTTTTTCTTTTTTTTTAGTCCGAGTACTTTTCCTTTTTTAATACCAATCAATACATTGCTTTGGTTTGAATGACTTTTATTCCTAACTGGAGCATTAAAAAGTGTTTCTCATACGCTCTGCGGCTCTAATAAAGTAATTATTAATTATTAATCTTGCAATACTTGATACGTATCTTGCAACACTCGATACATCGTTTGAATTTCAGCTTCGATTTTCTGTTTTATATTTTCCATTATAAACGTTAAATTACCTTTCTATCAGTTTTGTTATAGAAGTTTTGTAGGTCTTGACTGCCTTTTTTCGTCTTGAACATTTTGGGTTTTTCAAGTTCAACTTGATGAATAAACCTCTTTGTGACAAAAGGCTGAATAAATAGACATTCTAAATGAAAGGTTTTTTACATTTTTTCTCTTAGTCATTAATGTAAGAAATCATACCAGCTTGTTTCTCAAACTCTTTTTTCCACTTTTACGTCTACGAAGCGGCCATTTAGCAGTTATTGCCTCGGTGTATGCGAGGCACTGGAGGGTGATTACAAGACCCAACACTAACAGTATCGTGCTCAATCTACTGTACATGGTTGCTCATCGATCCCACTCATTGAACCAGAAGATCGAGTCAGTTTTATTGGCTTGATGCAACGCACAGACAATACATCTGTTCAAGAGTCCCGTTGGATCTTAAACTAATGGAGGGGAGGTTCAATATTTCCATTTCAAGCTGTAAACACATCATCCACAATTTTTGTCATTCCTTACTGTCGTTTCCTGTCAAGAACGTGAGAAAAACAAACTGCAGAGAATAGCTTTACATCTGTTCTATAACGTATTCAAGATACATGCACGACGTAATGAAAAGCAAGCTACAATGCTGGCAGAGATTTAGGGCCAAATATAAAAAACAAAACAAAACAAAACGAAAACCAATTTCCGATACTGTCAAGGAAAACATCCTCGCTAAAGCCAATAGAACGGAAAAGAAAAAACTAAATTTGATTTCAAATGAATAAATGTAAGGTAGCATCTTTTCCTAATAACGGGAAGAGCTGCTCTCTACTTACCAGATGCAGATGCCCCAAAAAACTACTACGTTTCGACTTTTATCGCGTTAGCTCAGGTGCTCGGTCAGAAGGGGAATTTGATTGAAGTTTAATGGATTGAACCAAAAAGGAAGGAATACGTCTTAGCGTTAGCACTGTAATAATGAACACGCTTTCAACTTCAAGTTCATGTGAAGCATTCCTCTTTTTTATCCCAAACCCTTCTCCTTGCTTTCTCCCTGATAAAAAACTGTTAGATAGTTGCTTTATAGTTATTTCTTTTGACTGGGTAAAGCTCCAGTAAAAATATGCTTTTTAGTCATCGTAAGCTTTCATCCATTGGAAACAAAAGAAAAAAAAATATGTTCAGATATAACAAGGAAAAAGCGACAAAGGGCAAGTGATTGGTTAACTTCATTGAAAATAAAGTGCGAGCCAAATTACATGCACATATATTTTATTTGCTTACACAATGTCAATTTTTGACAGATCTAACTGTGAATGCAGTTTACTTTAAGTCAAAGGCGCGTTACCAAAAACAACTGAACTTCATTTGAAGTTCATGATAGTTCTATGTGTTCTTGTATAGAGGAACTAGCCCTCACTCTCACATTCGAAAGCTTCAGGATCACGACAAAGTCTTCGACCTATGTATAACCCGGCTCGGCCCGCTTCTTCATCTTTGGCCTCCTTTGAATAAAGAAAAACAAATAGAATAATTATCAGTCTACAGCAAAAATATTATATTCCATCCATTGGAAAAGAATTAAAATGGTCCTACCGCTTACCACCACCCAATTAAAATTCCTAATTACCTGAAAGA